CACTTAAAGAAATCAATCTTGAATTTGACCTAGATATATATGAGAGAGTGTTTGATCTAGCAAGATGAGGTTTTCGTATTTCAAATGTAGTTTTCAAAAAGAAACATTTTGGAAAACTCAAAGATGAAAAATATGAAGGTTACACTTGAGGAAGAAGGGAAAGTTTACAAAAGTGATGGCTGCCAAAAGATGAATCCTTTGGTCTTTACACCCAAAAATTCCCTAGGTCAGAATCAACACATGGCAACAGAGAGAGAAAGGATAATATGACCAAACAATTGGTTATCCAGCTAGAAATCCTACAGAGTAAGGATGACTAGTCATACGAGAAATAGATGACTAGTCATCATTTTATGAAATCAATTTAATGTAATGTGATGCAATGCACAATTTACCTTTGTCAATTTGCTTGAACCTTCATAGGATAGTTGTTACTTAAGAACATCTAGAGAAGCTATTCTTAATCTAAACTTGAGCTTGATAAAAACAATAAAAATCCTATTACAAAATTGTCAAGGGAAGCCAAAAGAAAAACTCAAAATGCATACATTAACACTTTGTTTGTGTCGTATATGAGAATGGAAGTGCATACTTAAAAATTGTAAATCGTGACTTAAATATACCAAATATGCTCTTAATGACATTCGTCAACTTCATTTGTAGGTGCACGACCTTGACCATCAAACTCTTGAAGATGATATTGAACACATCGAAATGGAAATTAGCGTTGATTTGGAAATCCACAATCTACTAAGAAAACTTTACCTAATAATAGATTACACATATGTTAGTATCAAATATATGACCTACTGTAAACTATAAATGAAAAAAATTGAAAATACCTTGTGGCACTTTAAGTCTATTCCTCCTTGTTAAAGCATCTTGTAGTACTCTTGAATCGTGAGCTGAGCCCTCCCACCTACAAAGGACATATATGAATTCCAAATCAAAGTTACAAGCTGCTAATATATTTTTCTCTAATAATACTGCATAACTTTCGAAACACATTAGGATACATTCTATACCTTTATCAGAAATGCTCTGAATCGTCATTCAATACATGATGTATATAATTATATCATTTCATAGTAATTGCTCGCTGGGTTAATGGATGTTCAATATTTTCACTACGCATCATAATCTCACAATTAATGGCCTGAAAGGGTAAGGATGAAGAAGAATGTCCTAGTGGTGGATCTTGGTGTGGTGGTTCATTATGATTTGGTATAAAAAGCCTGACTTTCATCATCAAAAACAAAATCTTCTATTCCAACATGTCTATCTTCCACCCTAAATGTTCTTGCATCAGTATCATCACCCAATCCTAATGAGTTTCTTCCAATAGTTGCATTAGTATCATCACCCAACCCTAAAAGTTCTTCCTAATGAGTTTGTTCAATCCCTATCGCGTTAAATGGAAGACAAAACTAAGTTATGCTGGGAAGCTTGGTTGACCAGTTCATTGGTTGGGTGTTACTGTTGCAATACATAAGTCAAGCTTGGCGTGGGTCCATATCGGCTAGTTTAGTGGCCCGGCATGAGCCCAATTTAGTTTGATGTGAGTTAGGGCCGTAGACTCGGACCCCGTTTGACGCATCTATATGTACTTCTATCTTGGAATACACATCTTATCCCTAACTAGTAAATTTTTATTAGTTTAGATTTTTTTTTTTTTAAAGAAAGGATTTGAAATGAATTTCCAAATTTACCTATGAACTTAACGGAAACCTTGATTGAATTAACGAAAAGGACCACTAGTGCAACGCCAAACATAATTAAAATATTTATAAGAAAATAGTGACTCCTTTAATATTAATATTAATATTAATTATTATTGTATTTAATATTTATAAAAGTAAACTAGTATAATAATGATTGCATTTAACATACTTATAAAAGTAAATTAATAGTAATTATAGTTACATTTAATTCATCATGATTGCATTTAATTTATTATCAGAGGCTGATGCGATAGGGACATATAATAAGCTCATTGGCCCGCTAATGAGGTCGTGAGTTCTTGAACTCGGTGGGGCTTAAGCTTAGCCTATTCAAGATAGGACGGGCCTGGCCCAGTTCAACTCTCAGGGCCCAAAAAGCTCATGATTGGTTAAGGTCTGAACTAGCCAACCTATCTCAAGGATTTTCCAGGCCAATTCAATGGTATGCTTTTACACCTTTGTATTCTTCGTCCCGTTTAGTTGAGTTTTAAGTTCTTGTAACCATAATTGTTAGATTACAATAGTTTTGTCCCTTATTATTCTAACATGGGGAAGACCCAACGTCGTAGCTTTTACATTCTTCAACCTTCTGACTGACATGAAGGCCCTTGGATCTTCGACCATGGAAACTAATCAACCAGTCATCAAATAAGTGAGAAAGCCATCCCACCAACAATGAACAAAACTCAACTGCAAAAGCCATAGTTTTGTGGGCTATTGATTCCCATTGAAAGAAAATGAGTGATTGGTTCCTTCAATTTTCATTGCCGGAAAATTCCTTCCTCTAACTCGGACGACGACAACTCGTCTCAACTCGCAGCCATCAACTCGCTTCACCGCGCCGTTCTCTACCCGCCCAACTCGCTCCTCGTTACTCACTCCGCCACTTTTCTCGCCCAGGGCTTCTCGCAGCTTCTCTCCGACGAGTAAAGCCTCCTCAATTTCACTTTCATTTCCTCTTTCTTTAGAATTGTAATTTGTTTTTTTTTTTTCTTCGCATTGTTTAGACAAATCCAGCTTGTTGTGTTTGGTTTCTATGGTTGTAAGGAAATTTGGGGGGTTGGAATGGATTGGGGATTTATGGAAGTGTTCGAATCTTTTGGCAGAAATATTTTGTGAAAGGTTTTTCCACAATTTACGCCCTTGCATTTGTTATTTTATTTCGAAGTTTGGAACTGGACAATACTACCGAACCAATGGGAACTGGAAGAATTACCTCCTTTCAAGTTCATGGAGTTTTAAAAACTAATCTCCAATTATTATCCTTGCAAAAGTTTGGCCTTCTCCCATTATCTGTGCAGAAAATATTGCAATTTGATGCTCCAATATCTCAGCTGCGTTTGCATCCTAATCACCTTGTAACTGGCAGTTCGGCTGCCACTTATATTTTCTTGCTTCAACAAGTACTGACATCATCTAAGTATGATAGGGTCTTCTGGTGCTCATTTTGTGACCAATGCGGTTACTATTCAATTTCGTTGAGGCACTGAAGAAAAATGTATATAATGCATATGAGGGATCTGCTGTTTTACTGTCTGCTACTCATTCTAGTTCCTTACTATTTCGAGCCAACAATAAAGTTTGTGAGGAGTGGTTTTCTCGTATATGTAAGCCAATGATGAATGCTGGATTAGCTCTACAATGCCATGATGCTACAATTCAGTATTGTGCTCTGCGTTTACAGGAGCTCAGGAATCTTGTGGCTTCAGCTTTGAATGAAAAGTCTAGGTCACAAGTAACTGAGAACCTCCATAATATCAGGGGGAGATTTTTGGCAGACATCTTGAGGGTTTTACGGCACATGGCATTGACTCTGTGTAAGACTCACGAATCAGAGGCTTGACTTGGCCTGGAAAAATGGGTTTCAATGACACTCTCTCCCTTTCTTGTGGAGGGAAACCAGTCCCTCAGTAACAGTAGGACGTTGGGACCCTTTACTTGGGTCACTGGCTTGTATATCAGGCAGAAGGTAAATAGGAAAGGCTGCTGTGCACTTTATTCACTTGCTACAGACTGAGGAGTTGTTGAGTTCCTTGGGTTCTGATGGTGTACAGTTTGTCATTGCACGCATCATTGAGTGTTATACTTCTGTTTGTGATTGGTAGAATCCTGGTTATCAGAGTTGCAAACACTTCATGCTAAGCATGCTGGGAAGAGTTATTGTGGTGCTCTGACAACAACGGGTAATGAAATTAATGCAATTCATTCCTTGGCATGGTATGATGAGCGTGAATTTCAGGCAGCATGGGCATGCCTTGGTTTGACACCTAAAAGTAGCAGTGAGGTCACACTTGATCCGAAATTGGCCTTGCAAAGAAGTGAGAAGATGCTTTTACAACCCCTGCTTCTTCAGAATGAGGGAAAGGAAAATAAGATGCCACATGAATTAAAGAAGGCCAAGTCAATGCTGGAGGAAACATTGTCTATTTCGCCACTTGATAGGTTTAGAAGAAGCAGCAGCATATGCTATGCAGTTGCACTGCATCATTGCATATGAAGAATTTTACAAGATTAAAGGCAACCAAGATAAACCACGGCAACTTCAGTCAATATTAAGTTCATATGTCTGACTTATGCGTCCACAAATGGGTAGAGTCCTTCAAGATTGTAACACTTGGTTAAAAGTTCTGCTAGTTTATCAAACCATTTCCCCAATTTCTCCTGCTACTCTAAAGCTTTCTATGAATTTGTTGAGCTTGACCTGCAAACAACGAAAACCTACTGTTGGCAAACCTCTGAACTATCTCAAATATCACACATTGAGATGCTCTGGGGAAAGGCACCGTGACTTTCTCACCTCAAATTGCAGTATGAGGGCATCCTGCTAATGCATGCTGAAAACAAGTTTGAAGACGCTATGACGAACCTTTGGTCGTTTGTGTGTCCTTTGCAGGTATTCTGAAGGCCAAGGCATGCTTGAAACTCTCAAATTGGCTTAAACAGAACTATTCAGATTTGAGGCTAGATGACGTTGTTCTTAATATGCGGTCAGACTTTGCGATGGCTGATTCCTCTTCTCCTGGAAGAGGTAGACCCTCATTTGGCGATGAGAGCTTAAGTTCTAAACCACCTTTGGGACCTATCATTGAGGAAATTGTGGGCACTGCTACAAAATTGTCTAATTATCTCTGCTCAATTTTGGGAAAATCCTGGATTTCTTATGCCTCTTGGTGTTTTAGTATGGCCCGGGACTCTCTCTTAACCCCAAATGAAAATACCCTTCACTCATGCTCCTTTTTACCCATCCTTGTTCATGAAGTTCTGCCTAAGAAATTCAAGCTAACTGAAGATGAGATCATAAAAGTTGAATATTTGATTTTACAGCTTGTCCAGAATAAGGATGACGATGGTTGTAGAGCTGAACTGGGAGAGTCGAACTACTCTCTTGATTCTGCTGAACTGAGAAATGCAACCCTGTGATGGCTTTGGTGCAGCAAGTAGTGAATATTATTGAAGCTGTTTCTGGGGCACCTGGTGCAGAAGATTGCAGTGACAATTGCCTTTCTGCTACTCTAGCTTCTCAGTTGAAGATCTGCTTTCTTTGTGCAAATTTTGGCCCAAATGAAACTGACATAATTTCTGTAGTTGATCATTTGGTTGTTGTTTGGTGGTCTTTGAGGAGGAGAAGAGTGTCACACTTTGGGCATGCAACTCATGGCTTTATAAAGTATATTTTGTATTCATCTGCAAAAATTTGCAATCATGGCTTGGCTGACTCTGATTTTGAGCCTATGAAGCAAAAAGCTGGCATCTATATTCTGAGGGCTACAGTGTATGTCCTACATATTCTTCTCATATATGGAGCAGAGTTGAAATATATGCTTGAACCTGCTCTTTCAACAGTTCTTTTGTCACCAACCATGGCAGGTAAGGGGCTCTTCCTTGGTTTGTTTCCTATGTGTTATTTTTATTTTTATTATTTATTGTTTAGTGTGGCTGACTTGATTTCATTCTGATTATAATGTTCACTTCTAGGAAGTAACTCCCGAATTGTTTGCTCGGTTAAGTTCTCATCCTGAGCAAGTGGTTCGGAAGCAGTTGGAGGCCTCACTAATGATGCTGGCCAAGCAATCTCCTTGGTCCGTTGTCTACCCATCACTAGTTGATGTGGATGCTCATGAAGAGAAGCCTTAAGAGGAGCTTCCACACATACTTGGTTGTTTGGTAAGGAAATTTCTTTCATTATTTTTATTATTAATTTTTTTTTTCAGGATGTTGTGCATTTAGTGCAATAAAATTAGACTCAAACAGAATTGACGGAAAGGACAAGCGGTGTAACGCGAGATCTACTTGGTGGGAGGATGTAGCCATTTTTGGAGATTAGGGACGAATCTGTAACTTGGGGTATAATTCAAGGACTGTTGCTACATTTTAGTCATATATTTATGACTGGGATCACAGATGATGTAGTATGACAAGGATTGTTTTTAGTCTATAATGATGTTGAATTCTATGATTTTCTACTTTTTTCTTTTGTTGTACTCTGTAAGTGGTTTCATGTCTTGAACAAATTATTTCCATACATCAGTTTTCAACATTGAACTATTTATAGCGTGAAGTTGCTTATGGACAACCATTTTATAACAGTAGCTTATTTTGCTTCTACATTTCATCTGAATTATTTTGTTTTAAGTTCTAGAGATGATAACCCAAGGCTGGGTTTGAGGTTCCTATTAGATATATTTAGCCTTTTCTTCTTTTACATTACGTTTGGTAATGGAAGATAATAGATTCGAGAGAAAATAGGAGATATTTACTTTCCCTTATGTTTGATGTTTGAATAGGTAGAAGAGAATCAGAGAGATTTTAAATAGACATTTTTGAAAAACCAAGCAACACACAAATCTCATATTCTTTCCAAAGCTCTCTCTCTCTCTCTCTCAATGATCAGCCCAGTTAATTCAGTTGTCTGATGCTTTTTATTTTTATCCACTATAGAATGTTTTTCTTGCACCTTGTTTATGTGGAAAGCTTCGTTTGGAGTTTTCTTACATGTCTTTGGCATATTTCTGTTTTTGCTGTGACATTCCCCACATATAGATGGATGCTTATACCAGCAGACCAACTTTGTGCAGTTTCTCTAGGAACACACTTTCACTAACACCTTACTAACCAAAATCATTTTTCTTGTTTCTTCTCCCCTTATTTGAAAAGAATTGAAAAGAAATAGAATCTGAAGAAATAGATTCTGTTTTGGCTTTAGGATCTAGAAAGTAGTTTCAGTTTTCTCTGTTTTCTTTAATGCCCATGATAATTGAGGGAATTTCCAGTAGGCAGACTCTTGGATTATTGAGGCCCCAAAGTACCAGGTTAAGTACTTGGTGACCAAAACATGAATAGCAAATAGGCTGACACTTGTTTTGAAGGGTTGCTTTCTGTCCATCCATCTCCACAATGCATGAAAGCAGCAGCAACACAAAGATGAGAGGAAACATTCATTTGATGCTGTCGTCCGATGCATAAAGTTGGCTCTAGCTCCACACCTGCGGCCGAGGAAACTTGCATATTGATCGGTAACTTAATGTTTTACTGACAGATTAACCGTACATACGAACAAAGTTAACTGTCTAATGAGAAGTTAATGCTTTTCAAATATCCTTTATCTTGAATGTATCTAACATACACAGAATGAGTGAATAATAAGAAGGCACCAAGTGAGGCCAACCCTTGTTTCTTCTTTTGGTGCAACCATGGCATGAGTTTTTACCACCAAAAGGCGAACCTTCAAAAGATGTTTCGAATATAAAATCTCATTCGCATACATGATGTTCCAAGCCTTCAAAATTTTTGGGACCCCGACCCTGATTATAAACTGATAATGTATTGAACAATTGAGAGATTCACTATTATACCCAATATAGGGGATTAAATTATAAAAAACTCTATATAAAATGGACTTTAGAAACACATCCAAAGTCCATGTATAACATAACAAAAAAGGCTTTTAACTTCTCATAAATTACAAAATTGCCATTAATTTCATAAAATAAGCCCAATCCAAAAACCTCATAAAAAAAACACAAAACACTCAATAGAGTATTAAAATAATTTAATAATCAAAATTAAATTCAATAAGGTCAGCTGTTTTTTTTTTTTTTTTGAGTTTGTTTATTGAAATTAAATGATGTAGAATTTATCCATATCATTAGTGCTAAGAATAAGTATCTGACTAAATATCTCTAAAAAATTCCCGTTTGTTCTAAGATTGTCAGACAACTCTAGATAAAATACTAAACTCTTTCTCCGAATCCACCTAAAACGTTGCTTGAGAATATACTAATAATATGATTTTCTTACAAAATTTGAAGTTTTAGATACCTTTAGTGCGTCACTATTTTATTTATTCCTATTTATTTTTCAGTACATTAAGTTATCATCAAAGCACTTGATATCTAACGTCTGTAAAACCTTTATCATTTAAATGAAAAGGTCAAACAAGCTTTTCTGTTCACAACAAAGTCAAACTAATTAATTGGCCACACGATTAGATAATTGAAAGTTACTTTTTCTTTTCTCCGTAACTAGAATTCACTTTATAAAGAGACATCACTTTCACTCATATGAGGTGAGGATGAACAAATGTGTATTCTAAGCAAAAACAAAGTCGGCCAAAACCAAAAAGCAAAAACAGAGATTTAAAGAAACAAAAAGTGAGGTTAGTGAAAAAAGGGCATTGACTTTTAGATTAGAGATTTCAGATACGAACTTTTATGGCATCATAGTTATGGAGTCATTTTATAGTGAGGGCCTTATATATAACATTTAAGTGATATTCTATCTCTTAACCGTTACTAACTAATTTGATCAAACGACTAACTAATATGATCCAACGGTTAAGAGATAGGGCATCACCTAAAGACCATCCTCACTATAAAATTCTTGTATAATTGTGTATGTGCGAGAAATCCCCTAATTATTATTTGTATTGAAATAAAATAAAAAATGTGAAGCCTATTGACAAATAGGTGCATGTGTGGGCTTTAAATAAACCAAACTCTTTTAATTTATTTTTGTTTTTAATTTTAATAAATCAAACTTTAAAAAATTTATTCTTAATATCTCACTCCAATAATAAAAAGCATTTTCCGGTCGGGAAACAGCACCAACTACTTGGGAAATCGTCAAACTATAATGTCGTTCCTTCCTTAATTAATGGGTGTGGAAGATTTCGTCCCAAAAAGAAAAAGGGTGTTGAAGATCACTCAAACGACGCCGTCACAGCAAAATATTCTAACAAGTCGAGAGAATACGGAAAATCTCTGCGAAAATTCGAAAGGGAAAAAACACACACACACAAAAAGCAAGAGGGAAGAGAGCGTGCAACGGGGCTCAAAGGGGCATCTAAATCCTACTGTTCTTCTTCACGAGAAAAAGCTCAAAACCCATCAAATTTATATTAAACTATCTATACTTCTCTCTCTTGCTTTTCCATTTTTTCATTTGTTTTTGGGTTTTCGAAATTAATGGCTATTATGAGGCACAAAGCTCGACAAAGCTAAAAGCACAAGGAAGAAGAGGAAGAGGAGGAGGAATATTTTGTTGAGTTGCCCAATGCTTTCTTTTTGAGCTTCCATACAATGGCTGAAGATCTCTGTTCTTTCAAGGTTTGCTGTTTCGTGCTTTTCCTTTTAGCTCTTCACTCACCATTTTTTTTTTCCCATTTAAGACTGTTTTCTGTCTTTTCCTCTTTCTAGTTTTGGTATTTCTAAAATTATATTTGGGTATCAGATTCTGACCCTTTTTTTTAATTTGTGGATTATTTTTATTGTTTGCATGTGAAATGCCCGATCTGGGTGTTGAAATATTTTACATTTTGATTCCCTGAATCCTCGGGTGCTTTTTGTCTATGTATTCAAGCTGAAGCAAACCCAGATTTCCTTTTCATTAGGTTTTGATAGAGAGGGGTCTTAATCATACAGTTGTCATATTACTTAATAACTAGATGTGTTAATAGCTTAATCAAATGAATATATGAACCCTGGTCGTTTGTTTGGATAATTGCAATGAAACCAACGTCATTTATTCTTCAATTCGACTTGAAAGTTTATGAACTTTTGGATAGCTGATCAGTTTGTCTTATAAAGTTTGAACCTTTGTTAGGACTAAATACCACTCATGTCATTCTTATTATGTGTTATTCACCCTTCATTTTGCATTGCCTAATTCATGGTTTACAGGATATATTTCTTATAAAGGCGCCCAAGAAATCTCCGTTGGTGCTGAGGATGATTGTCTTGTTGTTTGCAATGGTCTGTGGTGTCTATATTTGCTCAATTTGTTTAAAGCAAGTCAGCAACCGCACCAACGTTGCCGGGTTTTTAAATGTTCCGGTGATTCAAAAGCCATGCCCACGACCTGATGTTGAGCCTGAGGAAGTTCCTTATGTGCACTACCCAAAGCCCATAACTTATAGCCGGTAGCTACTAATTTACTTGTAGTTTCAAGTTTGGTTTTGTTTGAAAAATGAAATGATATATTTTTCTTTGCATCATTAGGGCTGAATGTGCATGCAATCCTGTGCGATATTTTGCAATTTTGTCGATGCAAAGGTCTGGGAGTGGGTGGTTTGAGACGCTATTGAATAATCATACTAACATAAGCTCAAATGGGGAGATTTTCTCTGTTAAAGTTAGAAGAAGTAATGCCTCAACAATTGTTGAGACTTTGGACAGACTTTATAATCTAGATTGGTTCAGTAGTGCCTCAAAGAATGAGTGCACAGCTGCAGTTGGCTTAAAGTGGATGCTTAATCAGGTGAGTGCTTTTTCATGCATTTTTCCTTTTTTAAAATTTTTAATTTCTGTTATTTAGCTATCCGCTGGTTTTATGGTGCAAGAGACAATGGCATTGCATTTCAGTACATTTCTTATTTTTCAGCAGATTGTCATATCATATAAAGACAGGAATCTTCTTCTTAGCTTGTTTCTTTTAGATAGCCAGTTATTATTGGTAACAATTACATCATTGGCTCATTTTTCCTGTCGTCTACTGATTTATGAATTACTGAGATTTTATTATACTGTATAGTTTCAAGTCCTGTCAAAAAGCTTGTCTTATAGTTTCTGAGATAAATGCTTACCCTTGGAGAGTGATGGAGGATCTGTAGGATTGGATTGGGTAATTCCTTTATGATCTTGTAGGGTGGTGGGACTGGTTCAGAGATGTCTGGAAATAGGCAGTGTAATACAATTGTTCTGGGCAACGGCTAAGTTTGAAGTTTATATGTTAAACTGTATACCCCATCAGAGTTCAGATTCTTCTACAAAAATTTAAACCTTGAAAAAAGAATTAGTAATAATAATAATATTCAATGTCTTGTTTAGCATTACAAATAGATGTATGGCTGCTTCATTTTGGGCAGCTAGTTATTATTATGATTTGCTTGTCCTCGATGAAACAGAATAACCTATTCTGTCTTGGAAGCCTTCCTTCAAGTAAAGTAATTTGGGGATCCAAGAGCTAAAACAACTTAATTTAGCAAAAATCATATAGATTCCATCACTACTGATGGAATCTGTTCATCAAATTGTTCTATATGAATGAGAGTTGCACGCTCTCTAAGTTATGGTAACCTTATGCTTTGAAGTATAGGACCATCTCACCACAACTAATGAGTTTTTAACAAAGGGGTCGAGTTGACTAAACTTTCAAACTCACTTGGTGTGACCCTTACGTGGATGTCTTGGTCAGAAAGGAATTCATTGCAAACTCGAATTTGGGTTAAATTAGAATGTCCATCCAGTACCTTAATTTGGGTCTGTCCATCTAAATTTTCACCCAGATTTATTTCTCAAGACAGTTGGTCTTAGATTCATTTGCTATCTTTGCTTTCCTGTTGGATTCCTTGTTCTTGGTGGCATTTGGCCAGGTAGGCAATAGTTTGATAACCTTATGAGGATTTTCTGTTGTGCATTTGGCATTTGGTCTTAAATTCTTAAATGCTATTCTGGTGTGCATTTTTTTTTTGTTTCATGCATGGAACAGCCACTGAACCATTTTTTGCAACAACTTGTGCAGGGCTTGATGCAGCACCATGAAGAAATAGTGGATTACTTCAAAACTCGAGGTGTTGCTGCTATCTTTCTCTTTCGAAGAAATCTGTTGCGCAGGATGATCTCTGTGCTTGCAAATTCTTACGATCGAGATGCTAAGCCGCTGAACGGGACCCATAAGTCTCACGTGCATTCTCCTCATGAGGTCTCTCCCTCTCTCACATGCAAGATATTTTCATGGAAGTCAATTGGTTGTTTACCTTAAAACACTAAAAACTAGTAATTGTTTGATTTGCAAACTTATTAAATGTCATGGTTGCAGGCAGAGATACTTGCAAAATACAAGCCTACAATCAATGCAACTTTACTGATACCTAACCTGAAGCAAGTAGAGGATACAACTACGAAAGCTTTGGAGTATTTCAAGAGCACCCGGCATATTATCCTATACTATGAGGATATTGTTAAAAACCGAACTGTAAGAGAAACTATATGAGCACTGAACTGATCAGTATATTTGTTTTTTTTTTTTTTAAAGCACCAACCTCTGAAATTTTCAATTGTGTGTGTTTGCAGAAATTGCTAGATGTTCAAGATTTTCTTAAGGTTCCACAAAGGGATTTAAAGAGTCGTCAAGTGAAGATACACAAAGGCACCTTGTCTAATCAGATTGAGAATTGGGGTGATGTTGAAAAGACACTTACAGGAACACAGTATGAAAACTTCCTCCATGCAGATTATCGACGAAGGTAAACAGCACCGGGGCGATGTACATACCATGCTTTGTTCTTTAACATTTTTTTTTTCTTCTCTTTTCCTTAACCTCAGAAGCCAACAGGAGGTTACAGGTCCCCTCCCTGTTGAAATTTTGGCGGCAGCTTCTGAATTTCAATTATAGCTTCCTTGCTGTTAACTCAATTTTTGTTTCTTGGCCACTCTCAATTAATATTCAATTGATTCTTTCATCTCTCTTGCTCTACAAGAAACTTTTGTTGTGGTATTTAAACTAAGTCAATAGAGAAAGTTGATGTTTCACCTTGCAATTCTTTAATCTTAGAACAAATTTCAAATGCAACTTGTTATTAGCCATCAATTAGATTCTAATCTCTTACTAATTTAAGGGTTAAATTGAGTAGGTTTTTTTTCTTCTTTGATTTGAGTGTGAACATTTAAAGAGAGAGGAAATTGCGGTTTACTTGTTTTGTCTGGTGAGCTCTCTAGTATAGAACATACGGGATCTTTGACCCGCTTGTATAGGCTGGTCAAAGATTTACAATCCACAGCGGAACGCGTACGGCGTGCTTCCATCAATCTACATCGGCTGCGCTATTAAGGACCGTTGGATAGAACTCACGTATTTTATGGGACCCACGATGGGTATTTTCCTACTTTGGCTAAAATAAGAAAAAAAACTCTCTTGTAATTGCTATTCTGATCAATAACACAACGATACATGGGATCCGATGAATGAGAACTTCCTAAAATAGAGACAAAGTTTAGAATCCCTCTCCACTCTCCAAAATCTCACTTTTTAACTCCACAAAACTTGAATCTCTACATCTCATGTTATATAAGGAAAATGGTCCACCCCATTTTTGTTTTTGGGGTACAAGATCCTCCAACCTTCCTTTTAAGTGATGACAATGAATTTTTATAATTATTATGGGCAGATATTTGTTTTTATGTATTTATTTAACCAAAAAAGAAAAAAGAAAAAGAAAAAAGAGATTTCCTTTCGGTTGCCAAAAGTAGCATTTGGATTATCATAAAAAACCTAAAAATAATTAAATTCTGTAAAAACATTGAATATTTAAAAACAAAATGACAAGTCCAGGTCAATTAATTAGCATCATGCCAACCCATTGACTTACTAGAGTTACCTTAATTAGCTTTGGTTAATAAAAAAAAAAAAAAGACAATAATTGCAACCAAGAAAAAAAGAAAAAAGAAAAGAAAAAGAAAGCAGCAATACAATAATTTAGAAAAAAAATTTGTTAACATGCAATCCAGCTCACGGAAGCACCAGTCAGTCTGCATCCAGTCCATGTACATCGGACGAGGCTTAGACCAAAACACTGCTATGGGTCCTACACGTCACGGACGGCAAACGTGACTTAACGGACGTAGCAAACGAGGTCTCATCTCATCTCATTTATATATAAAAAATTAAAAATTAAAAAGAAAAAAAAAAGGAAAAATCTATCGCAACACGGTCTCCTTTAAAACCCCATTTCGTCACTTCAAACCCTCCCTCTTTGCTCTGCGCAGCCTCCGTTGCTCTCTTTTTCTCTCTCTAAGCTTCAGACCACTCTCTCTGCTCTCTCTCTTGAAATCCCAGAAGAGAAGTACAAAGAAGACGAAGTAGAGAGAGGTGCAGAGAGAAGAAGAGAGTAAAAAGCTCAGACCCCACCACAAGTCCAATATGGCCCAGCAATCCAACGGCGGCGATCTGGGCACTCAGCAACAGCAGCAGCAGCAACAACAGCAGCAGCAGCAACAGCAGCAGTGGATGCATCAGCATCAGCATCAGCAGCAATGGATGGCCATGCAGTACCCAGCAGCGGCGATGGCGATGATGCAGCAGCAGATGATGGTGTATCCGCAGCATTACATGCCTTACGCTGCTGCAGCTGGCCATCCTCATCATCCTCATCACAATCCCTACCAGCAGCAGCCTCAGGGCGTGCCTTATCAGCAGCAGCAGCAGCAGCCGCCGAAGCAGCTGCAGCAGTCTCCCTCTCAGAAACAGGGGCCCACCGATGAGATCAGGACCATCTGGGTGGGCGACCTTCACCACTGGATGGACGAGACTTACCTTCATGGATGCTTTGCTCACACTGGGCAGGTCAGCTCTTTAATGAAAATGGACTTGTATTTGAACCCGTTTCGGTTTTGGTTTGTTTAGAGCATTGAAGTTTTCATGAATATGGATTTAAAATGTTAGTTGATACTGTGGGTTTTAGTTTATTTGACATGATAACAGCTCTATGATTGATTTAAGGTTAACAGTATGGGATTTACTCTATAGTTGTATGTTGGGTGAAGTCATAAGCATTCTAGCTTACCTTGGCAGTTTTTTCCTTTATTCAGAAGTAAAATACTGATTGAAAGAGTAAGGTAAATGCCAACTACCTACTTCTAAAATTGTTCTTGGTATATCAAGATGCCTTACCTGGATAAGGGAAATGATTCAGGTTTTGGTTAGTTGATTGAACTTGTTCAGTGAACAAATTTGCCTCTTTAGTGGCTAAGTTGGGTCAACTCTGTTGATTGTAGATTGGCGGCTGGTTTCCAACCTCTAGCTAGGAACCCATTTTTTCCCTACCGCAGCCTGTCTTCTATTCATCGTGTTGACAATTAGTGATTTTCAGAAAGTTTCTTGCTGCATATGATGACCTTTAACTTAGAAAATTAAATGCATCCTCTTGTGGATGGCCACCATCTTGTTGAGGGTTTGAGTTATTACTGTGTTTTTCCGATAGAGAGTAATAGCAGTTGATCAACTTCCCAATCTGTATTAGTATCATTGCAATGGCCATTCAATGCAAACCATTCATGTGATGTTAAAATCCTCTTCCATGTTTTGAAAATTTGTCTTTACTTTAGATGGTTTATAGGTGAGGTCAATTATTGCAAGGCCTAATCCTTTTGTTGATAACTATTTTGGACATACAATTATTTGATAGTTGTAATTGATTTACAGAAGAGTGAATTGTCTTTTGCCAGCCTGTTATCCTTTCCTGCTAAAGTGCATCAAGTAAATGATACTGAATATTTGGCACTAGTATGTTACCAAGTTGTGTAGTTAAAAGTAGTTATCTCTTGTTTAATTTGCAGATCCTCTTGTTTAGTGTTGCCAATATGTGATGAAATGCTATTGCAATATATTGGCCTCACTTTTATTTTTCTAGTTAGGTTACTTCTTTTTTGGGTTGTTTGACGATATGGAGCCTAATGATTTCCATGTCTTAAAAATAATAAGAGCAACAATAGTGATTTAGAAAGGCAGTAGTTGAGGAACTATTTGCATGGGTCTGTTCTTCCGTATTTGCTTTTAGCAACTATGAGTTATAAAATGCAACTTAACACTGGACACCAATGTACCCCTTATGTGCATGCCCACACATCTCAACCAAACTGGGCCTTACATGTGTAGAACAAAAAAGGTTATGCCACAACTTGAACTGGGTTCACAGTCAACATAAACATGTTACCATATTTATTTCGCCAGTGTGATGGACTCAACAATGTACATCAAGCACAATTTAAGAAGACCCCCTATCTTATTAAAAAAATTGTCTCTTTTATGTATTTTATTGGATATAAACTTTAAATTGCTCCTAACTATGTGCTTTTGGTGTCACAAACATTGCAGGTTTCCACAGTAAAGGTTATACGCAATAAACAAACTGCTCAGTCTGAGGGATATGGATTTGTCGAGTTCTTTTCACGTGAAGCAGCTGAAGAAGTTCTGCAGAGCTATAATGGTGCTGCAATGCCGAATACAGAGCAGCCTTTTCGTTTGAACTGGGCAACCTTCAGTGTTGGGGATAGACGAGCAGACACTAGTTCTGATCTATCTATCTTTGTAGGAGATTTGGCTACAGATGTGACTGATACTATGTTGCAGGAGACCTTTGGTAGTAGATATTCATCTGTCAAGGGAGCGAAAGTTGTTCTAGATGCAAATACTGGTCGTTCAAAAGGTTATGGTTTTGTTAGGTTTGGTGATGAAAATGAGAGGTCAAGGGCCATCACTGAAATGAATGGTGCGTATTGTTCGAGCAGGCCCATGCGCATAGGTGTTGCAACACCCAAAAAATCACCTGCTTATCAGCAACAGTATTCTTCACAAGGTATGATATCATGCTCCTGATTTTTTGTATGATTACTCATGTCCATCATAAGTCCACTCATTTTTGTTCAACAAGCAAAATTGCCTATGCACATTTGATAATTAAAGGTTCTTTTCTTATGTTTGTACTTGTCATTTACACAATTGTGATTTCTCCGTTCCCTTCTTAAAAATATGAGCATACAACAAACCAAGTCTTACTTTTTGGTCAACTCAATTGTATCTTCGACTACTGTGCCTGCTCCTCATTTCCTTTAATTTTTTTTTTTCTCTATAATTCATTTAGTTATATATCTACTTCCTTCTCCAGTTACATGTTTTCCTTTACTTACATTGTATTTCTATTTTACATCAAGAAAAATTTAGGCTAGTTAGTGATGCTTGCTTCTTCTCTTGCAATGTAAGGTGTAAGTATTAGGTGGTTTTTGATGTTGTTTTCTATTATTTTTCCCCTGGAAACTTTCATTTTCAAACAGCACAGGAATCTCATCAGATTATGTTCGTCCATTAATATTTATCCCTCTTCAACATCGCTCTTAACTGCTTTGGTGAAAGCAATAAATGATGCAATTGCTGAGCCAGGAATGCGTATACTTAGAATGGAGCAACTTCCCCATTGCGATCTTGAAAAGTTTTTAGTGTTGGTTTTATATATTTGGTAGTTTTTCAAATATTGGGAAATTATCTTCACTACGTTGTGGTATAGAAATTTCTAAAATTTTAAAATTTTAAATTAGTTGTCAATGTATAAAATTGAGTGGTTCGATTCAAAGTGAGAAGTAAAGCTAATGCCATCACACATGAGTTAGTTTTTCCTTTTTGTTCGAAAGAGTAGGTCTTCACCTAGCTAGTTGAATTTTGACTCAAGTTGTCATTTGGATTCTAACTTAAGTTGTAATTGATGATCATGGAATGGATTCGGTTCTCGGACACATTTGGCCATGCAGGTGGCTTTCATGTAGTAAGCATATTACTAAGTGAGAGAAACATGTTGAGAAATCAGGAGCTAGAATAAGATTTAAATTAAGAAACAGAGACATAAAGTTCTAAAATCTTTACTGCTATAGGACTCTTTTGGCCAAACAGATACACTGTTAAATTTATCCCTATCTGAAAGGAAAAGGAAAAATCTGCTCCTAAAACCTATCAAAATAACTAACTACTAACATTACTGTTGAAAATGCAGTGGTCTATTTTGGCATCTTCATAATTTTGAAAGCGATTTTTTAGTAAATGTATTACTTTATTCCCTTTAATTAGCATTGGTATTAGCTGGTGGTGGACATGCATCAAATGGCGCTGTTGCTCAAGGTTCCCAGTTTGATAGTGAGACCAATAACACAACTGTAAGTTCAACTCTTTTTTCTTTTTCCTGTTTCCAGTATCTTTAACCCTAGATAGCTCTTTAATCTGTGACTTATTGCAGATATTTGTTGGAGGGCTTGATTCGGATGTCAATGATGAAGACCTCAGGCAGCCTTTTTCTCAATTTGGTGAAGTTGTCTCGGTGAAAATACCAGTCGGAAAAGCATGCGGTTTTGTTCAGTTTGCTAATAGGTACTCTTGTCATTTAACATATATGGGTCCTGTCCTGTCATGTAGAAATAAAGCTGCAATCAGGAATATTCCTGTCATTACAGCTTTAGGAGTAATGGTACTCTCAGTATCAGTGTTAAAAGAAGTATAATGAAAGCATTTATTAGATATTAAACTGTATATAAGAAGTATAATGAAAAATTGTTGAAGACTGAAGGAGGTACATAGTACCACTATAATCTTATTCTGTGGTGCCCCGTAATGGACTCCTTCACATTGTTTCGGTTTGTAGGAAGGATGCTGAGAATGCAATGCAGATGCTGAATGGAACGGTTATTGGAAAGCAAACAGTTCGTCTTTCTTGGGGCCGCAGTCAGGGGAACAAGCAGGTAATACTTTGTCAACTATGTCATGTTAATTGTATGCGGGTGTTGCAACATTTAGATATCTATCCCTGAATTATACCTATATTTTTCTTGTCATTTGTTTGGTTTGATTTCTTTTATGCTGTACAACATTAAAGTGCCACAAATATCCCCCTTCCCCCTTTTCTTCGTGCAGTTCAATGTTAACAGTTAGTTTTCTGATTGATGTTAGAGTTGAATGATATGTCCCTTCATTAAATTATCCACCATTTTAGTACGTAGAATCCCTGTACCTTGCTTGGCCCCACTGCCAACCTCTCGTAGAGTTGAATGAATTGCCCCTAGGGTAAATTATCTGCCACTTGAGCATGTAGAATCCCCGGACCTTGCTCGCCCTGCCCCAAACCCTCTCTGTCTGTCTGTCTCTCAGTTGGGTTTTTCTCATCGTTAATTACATGTGATTTTGCAGTGGAGATCCGATTCAAGTAACCAGTGGAATGGGGCACATTATGGAGGACAGGGTTATGGTGGTTATGGACATGCTGCGCCACAGAGTCAGGACCTGAGCATGCATGCTGCAGCCGCAGTTCATGGGGCTTCTTAACGGCTATCGGAGTTGCCAACAGCATGTAAACTGAACTTACAAGAGTGGCTTTTTAGATATAGTTTTCAGTGCCTTTAATTTAAGTAGGATTGATTTAGCTGGTTATTTAGCTGAATCTGTAATGTGCCGAATTTTGTTACCGGATTGAATTGATATCTTGAAAACAATGTGTGAGTAATATTTGAAAACTTGGTTTCTCTTTTTCTTTTTTAAAATTGTATTGAAACTTGTTTTTCAACAAGCTATTTATCCAAGTACAGCTCTGCCTCAAATAATGGACTATATAGTTGTGTTATTTTCTTCAGACTTAAAAATAATTTCTGGGTCTCTCTCTCTTTGGCGACCGATAATAGAATCTGTACACAATTGACACACTTTAAAATCGTAAACAAACTCAGATTTCAGTACACACCCAAGATTCAACCCAAAATGAAGAAGAAAGGAAATACAAGTGAAATGAACCTTGTTTGAGCAATAATCAGCCAAGAGGAAAGGAAGATAGAGCTTCTTCAGAACTTAGATCCAGTAATTCAGAAAGGGGGAGTTGTGGTTGCTAGAGAGAGTGATAATTGCAGAAGACGGGTGTACACTGTTCCTCATGTTTTTCCTTTCCAACTTTAAAGAGACTTTGTTTTCGTTTTCACGAAATCGTTTAACGTGTTTTTGTTATACGGCGTACCAAACACAAATTGTTTCTTCAGTGTAGCTTTGCCACCTCTTAGAACATAAGCTCAAGTCAAGCTTCTCTGAACTCGTATTTAGACTCTCAATCTCAGAATCAAGCCTACGGTCTCAGAAATTACTCCAGCTGCCAGTTTGCAGTTCAGACTCTCAACAAGATGTTCATGAAGAAAAGAGTTTTGGCTGCAACAAAGCTCATAATACTTGTAACATCTCTTCAAAGTCAAAAGATGGTATAGTAAAATGTACCACTCCTGGTCCATTAATTATCATGGTGAAGGCTTGTGCATATACTATCATCTGTAGTTGTCAAAGCAAATGTTATTGCAGTTTCTTTGAAAACACTGATATTAATTAAGAAGAGGCACATTTTAGCATTTTCTCTCGACTCTTATACCTAACCAATGAAACTACAACAAGAAGTTGAGGCATAACCCTAGCTAAAATGCCCATGTTCAGTCATTTTGTTCAGCGGTCTCGTGCGTTTGAAATGAATACAACTCAATCTTGAAGCACCCAAACATACAAGGAAGACGGCAGGCAAAAGGGAGGCTCTGAGAGGATTTTGATGATGCCGAACGAAGTAAACATACTGAACTGTCGAGCAAAGACACTGGGAGATGGCACCAAGTAATCCAAAAATGTCAAGAACATCACCAAATGGCCTTCGCTGTGGTCTTGTTCTTGCAAATGATCTCCCAGATGCAAGACAGTACAGCAGCAATAGCCAACATCACACCAAATACATACATTAATAATAAGAACCTCAATACAATGATCTTTAACCTTACTTTGCTAATCTTTACAACATCTTGAAAGACCCAAAGATAAAAGAAACATGAAAGGCAAAATGGATAGTTTGATAGGATTATTAGCATGTCGATGGAGGTAATCATACTGAACCCCAGAGCAAATGCATTGAGCGATTGCAAGAACTAGCCCACAAATGTCAGGAAAATTACCAAAAAGCCTGTTTGGTGGATATGGATGATAATACCACCATATCCTTCCCCACTTCTTGAATTCAACTCTTTCTCTGTAACCCTTGTGAATGAGCTCACAGATGCAGATGAGTACGGCCGCAATAGGCAACAACATACCATATAGTGCATAGTGGGGCTTACTCGGGGATGAAAGCTGATCAAAGAAGCTGAAATAGTCTCTAGCCCCAGGCTAATGAGGAAAAAGATCCACTTCTCTGAATAAGTAAACTGCAAAAGAAATGAAGCGGCCATTTATTATTCAAAGATATCTTATCTAGCAAGAAATATAGCAAATCAAAACAATAAGAATGAGTTTTGGAGCAAAACTTCTCCTCGTGCGACCGATAACGGGAGGAGGTGGCGTGAGGAGAGATAGAGAGAGGGGGATATGCAACCGATGTAGGTGATATCACTACCTTTGTCCTGTGCTTTGGCTTGTTATGGTCGTCTACTTGTTTTTGTAAGCTAGACATGATGTCCTTGTTCACATCCTTTGGCTGCTACAATATGTGAAAATTGGGAGAGAAAATATTAATTGTTCAGCTATTGGGTCATGTAATTCTCACATGCATGCACCCAAATAAGTAAGTGTTAGCTCAAAACCTCTGCTTTTTGTTTTTTTATTTTGCCAATAGCTCAAAACCTTTGATAAGGAATGCGCAATTTCTCTGAGAAGCAAGAATAAAAAAGGATCATGGGCGCAATTTCAAAAAGAAAATGATTGAAAAATCATAGTTCAATCGCATAACCTAAGGGTCCGTTTGATAACCATTTTAATTTTAGTTTTTTTTGGGTGCTAAAATATAGAGGAAAATGAGAGGGAGAATGGAAGTGAGGATGAGATTGAGAGAGAGGATGAGAGTGAGGAGTAACAAAAGTGAAAACAACAACTTGAAAGTGAAAACAAATTTCAAATGGATTTCAGTTTTTAAATTTTGTTTTCACTTTTCTTACTCCTCCCTCCCATCTTCCCCTCTCATTTTCCCTCTCAATCTCATTTCCACTCTCATTCTCACTTCCATTCTCCCTCTTTTTCCTCTATATTCTAGCACAAAAAAAAAAAAAAAAAAAAAAATGGTTATCAAACGGACCCTAAATTTATTGAAAGTCACAATAAGAAAGACTTTAAATAGAAAAATTCTAAACTCCCAATCGTAAATCCTAAACTAACGAATAATCCATTAGAATCATGCTACACTCTCGTATATAGACTCTAATCATGACCGTTAAGAATTCATTAAAGGCAAACCAAGACCGTTCAAACCGTCGATAGACTAAACATTAAAACACAATAGTTTAGTTTAATCCTTATAATTCAAACGTTAGAGTGCGAAAGAAACCATAAATTAAGACATGCAAAACAAAAAGCTGGTGACAAATATGCATGGTTGACTTTGAATAGTTTTGACCAGTACTAGGTATACCTCTGGTGGCCTTAGCCTGTGGTAGGCATTGTAGTCCACAGTAGATGGGCTAAGAAATCGGGGGTGCCTGGGCAGCTCCTCATCGTGGATGCTAACCACATGCGATCCGCTGGAGCCCGATCCACTGGAACCGGGTTGACCTTGAAGCTCAAGCTCCATTGTTTGTGAAATTCTCTTTTACAAATAGATAGATACAAATCAAACACAAAAAGAAAAGGCTAGGAAAGAAGATTTGGGATACTGAAGAAGGGAGAAGTAGATGAGCTTACAGAGAGATCCAGAAATGCAGAACCAAAATTCTGATTGTGGTGATTATACCTTTTTAATAAATCTTTATATAGAGAGAGAGGACGCGTCCTTACTTCCCGGATATTATTCTTTTCATAATGGGAAAAAAAAAAATTGATGGACGCGTCCGACCAGTTGATGTGCATGCGGTCAGCAACTTCACTGCAGTTTCTTTTGAACTTCCGTTCTTCCGATAAAATTGGAACTATTAAGTTTCCCTTAATGCTAAATAATTTGAAGGTGACAAATAATTTTAATGTAGTAGTTGTCACTATCATATACTAACTAGTTACTAGGTTAATATCGCGTGAACAACTTATTTGGACAAACTCCTCAATGTATTTCATCATTTGAACGGTTAGTGTCTCATTAACTTACTAACCAGTTAGCGCTCCAGCTCTTATTAAAAACCTTATAATACCTTGTTAACATGCACACGTTGTGTATCAGTTACGCAAAAAAATAAACAAAGGTTATTTTATTACAAAAATCCAAAAATATATTAATAAAACTTAAAAAACAAAAACAAAGACACCTCACACACAAATTAAAACTTCTCCACATAATCTTCCACCTCAATTCTCTCATGCAACACCGTTCACCTTTTAACTACTCAGAAACATGGTGTGTATTTGAACAAATGGGAAAACTGCCACACGACTTGGGTAACCAAATGGTGTGTGGGTTGGGTCCCGACTGACTCAATCGAATATTTGAAGCTTCTTATAGTAAAAAATATATAAAATAGAAAATAACAAGAAACTGCAGGTTAGGGTTTTGAGACATATGAGACTTTGTCAACATGTGTTTTAAAATTGAAATGGAAAAAGGTCTCTCCTATTCTTAGTTGACTCTTAGTTATACTCTGTCTGTAGTTTGTCCGTGTACTGTGCGTGTGGAGCTGTGTGGTTTATAAAACGATGTGTTGATAAAACAACCAAATTTTCTAGAAGTTTAAGCTTTTAATAATAATAATAAAACCGACCAACAATGTAATATTAAATTTCACAAAATTAATTATTAGAAAATGAATTAATAATGTATATAAATATTACGATTCTAAAAGACTTTTGGTTAGTCGCCATTCTAGTTTCAGATAAATTTTCTAAAACTGTTTAAAAATAATTATTTGGCTATTAAAATATGAGCCAGAAGAAGATATGGAATCCAAACCCTCCTCAAAACCACATCTTCTGCATGCAGGTGTGTTGGGTTCATTTTTATACATGATTTATTATGTCATTCACTCAATATTTTGAATTAGTTTTTGACATTTTATAGTTTTTTTTCTTCATTTTTGTGTTTCTATTTTTCTATTCAAACAACAATAATGGTGTATTTACTAATCAGAAATTGTAATTCCCATCATGAATTGAATTCCACTTATGAAGAAAAATAGAAAAATGATGTAGAACAGATGGGGAAAGCAATTGAAGAGGAGCTGGAGAGACGCGTGCGTAAGGGTAAATTGGGCAAAACACATCACTTTGCTATGATGTATCGGCTTTTTCGGGCATTTGAGATCGTTTAGCAGCCCGAAATCCAGTGTTAAACTTTTTACATTTTTTGGAAACTTTGTTATTTTCCTATTTTAATTCATTGTTTATTCCTAGAATTTCTAGGAATATTTAAGTAGATTTTATCTGTGACTAGAGTCATGTTTTTTATATTCTAATTAATCAAATAAATCTTGAGATTTCCTCATATCTTCTTGGTGAATTCCAGAGTTACATGTTCTAGGCTAAAGTTTTAGCCAATCTATTGTCCTCGTCACGCTACGTCAAAAAACTTAAACTGTCATAAAATAAGTCAACAATGTATATCAAGCTGACACCTCCCTCACGTGCAGCCCCAATTCTACACGGTTAGACCCTTCGAACTAGAAAGCTAAGGAATGACCAAATGATAAGATTTTAAAAAATTTACAACATAATTCCAAAAATATACACACTTGAAAATAACCATGAGTGAATGTACTTTCAAATACTTTGAAACTCGATGAAAAAGATTGCGGCTTTGACCCAAAAAAAAAAAAAAAAAAAAAAAAAAAAAAAAAAAAAAAAAAAAAAAAAAAAAAAAAAAAAAAAAAAAAAAAAAAAAAAAAAAAAAAAAAAAAAAAAAAAAAAAAAAAAAAAAAAAAAAAAAAAAAGCATTAACAGAGCAAGTTATTTGTCAAATAATAGTGAAAGTGTTTCAAATAATTCTAGAACTATTTTCCTTTAAAATTTCAATAAGAAAATTTATTCTGCATATGGTATACATATATTTACTTACTGTATTTTCTGATAGAACATGGTTAACATTCTTGTAAAACCACGATATGCTACGCCGACTTCTGAACTCAATTAAAGAATCTTGGCTGGGAAATATTTCTCTACCTATTTTTTGTAGGGAGCTTTCATTTTAAGACACTATATAGTTTACTAATTTGGAAGATAGAGATACAATTTACCTAATTAACATAAGGCCAAAGACAAAAAACTAATACCTACTTTTACCAAAATCATATCAAAGAACATTAAAATTACAACATGTCATTTATCATTGTTATCACATTTCAGTATTTAGTTTTAAACCAAAACCAACAGCTGCCAAAACAACATCAAAAGACCCAAAAACGATAGACTCAAATTGAATCCTAAACCTCTTCATGTGACCTTTCATCTTCACATTCACAAACTGTTTCAACAGTTGAGACTTACCCAAAAATCTCAGGTGATCGCTACCACCAATGGCGACGACCACCAATGAAGTCGATTCTTCATTCTCTCTTTTGACAAAAGAAGGTAAGGAAATCAACGCTCTAATACGGTACCTACTGTTCATTCTTTCAACTCTCAAATAGAGCACCAATATTGACGAAAATATAAGAAACTCTCTTTTTCTTCGTCTATTTCAGAAACTACATTGCATATTCTACACCCTACATAACAGTTTTAGGTACCTTCTTAGATCTGAATGGGTTTATGCTTGTATGCTTCAGTTTTTTGGGTTAAGAACTAATTTTAGTTGGACATTTCAACAAACACATAGAAGGAACACTAATTTTGGTTGGGCATTTCATGCATTGTAGTTTATGTTTTGGGTTTTGATTTTGGTTTTCATTGTAGTTTATGTTTTGTTCATTTTTCAACCTCCATTATGTTTGGTTTCATTCAAGTTGCTTTATAGTTTCTGACTTCATTTTTTAAAAGAAAAATTAGGTATTAGACATAATTAACTTTACTAATTAGTATGTGAGACATTGAGTATTTTAGTTTGGGTTTTAATACCTAGTAAAGAATTGCTATTTTAGATTAGGCCAAAGAGGCGGCCCAAATTCGTTGGGCCAGATCTAAGTTCACAAATTTGAGATCAATGTAGTAGTATATTTCGTTTATTTATATATGAACTCATTACAAGTTCCATTGTTTATAATAAGTATGATATCGTCAATGTAATATGTTCCATTATTTGGCAACCAAATTTAATATAATTTTTTTCTTTTGATGCTAGTACATGTGTTGATGCCCATGTATGACATGTAGGCTAGACTAGGAGAAAAACATAGTTGCAAAAAGGATAGCACTGTTTTCCTATATCAGACCAATAATGCTATGCTAAGTAGAAGTGTTATCACATGTGTCATAACATTATTGGTCGAAGATAACAAAATATTATCCTTATTTCATGGAGGTATTTCTCCTTAGACTAGATGATTGTAAACCTATGCTAGGGTACAACAACACCGAAGAAATCTTGTCTAACTGCTTTCCAATTTTATAATCTCATATTCTCGTCTCTCCTTCCCATTTCGATTCTTTTTACTTCTGATTAATTTTTATCTTGATTTCTTGTTATGTAATAATGTGTGAGCAAATTTGTTAAGTACTAAAATGCATGAATTTTTTTTAACAAAATAAAGAAATTAGAAACAAATAAATAAATTAAATAATAGAAACGCTAGTAAGTGGTCCTTAGAAATATACCCGTCCAAGAATCGAACGTATATTAAAGATCAATACACAACAAAGACTCAGTCATTCCTCCAAAACCTCCTATGTTTTAATTCCACTTCGCGCCTATTTTCCCATACAAGTTACGCAGCACAAATGTTGTGACGCGTTGGTTGGTGGTGTGCCCTATTTTTCTTTTTGTTGCAGGCTTTTATTAATAGAATATGTTGGGCCGTCAAATTTAGAAAGAAGAACTTGGACCACGTCAGGAGTCTTTCGTTAAAAGAGGCCTTTCTTCGCATGGAGGCCCAAATCAGGATCCTTTTTCGGTTTGTGGTTCGTCTGGAGTTGGTCCGTTTTTGGGGACATGAACTATGGAGGTCAGCTCAATCCTGTTTTTTGTCTTGCACCTTTTATTATTGACAATTAGTTTGCGCGCACCCAAACACCCAAGAAAGATGACGGGCAAAATGTTTACTCTGAAAGGACTCTCCATGCCCTTAAGCATGCACACAAACCGAGCTATGGTGGATAGCCACTGAGAGATTCCACAAATTAATCCCAAAATGTCTGGAAACATTTCTAAACGCGGGCTTGAGCTTTTTTTTTTTTTTTTTTTTTACACTTGAGAATGAGTTCGCAGATGCAAACGAAAAGAGCCACGGAAGCCAACCACAAACCACTGAGTGCAGACTGGGGATTTCCTGGGGAGAAAAACTGATCACAAATAGCTGCAAGGATCTCCAGGAAGAAGGTAATGATTAAAAATATCCACTCTACTGTATCGGCCTGTAAAAAATATAATTAGCCAACAATCAACAAAATCTTCTCCGCTGAAGGAAAAATAAGACAGTTGAACATTTTTTACCTCTAACAAGAAGCTTTTAATAGCAGTACTCCAACATGTATTTTCTACCACGCCTTCATTTGCTTTCGGTTTGGGTATGAAAAGGCAATTGCATTAACAAATTATATATATATATACAAAAAGGTTTTGTTTGTAAATTTGAATGCATGTGTGTATTAACACATTATATATATAATACTTACTGTAACATCGTCAATTTGGTC